ATGGAGAGGGTCATCTGAATGTGCCTTTTTCTCTGGAAAGAAGCAGCCTCTAGAGCTGAGGCTGGAGGTCACCGCCAGCGGCCACACTGGTGCCAGTGCCAGCCTCTTCTCCCCCACAAAGCTGGAAGAAGAAAGACGATTTCTAAACCTTTGAGTATGAATTGATTTACTGTGTGGGATTGGAAGGGTGCCAAGCCTGAGAAACTAGGGGAGGAATGCGGAAGGACGCTCACGTGGTCTACAAAGGAGGAAGAAAGCCTTACACCATAACAGGCCTGCTTCAGGTTCGTCCTGGCGGGAGCAAGGTGGCCCATGGGTGGCAGTTTAGGAGCATGCAGGTCACTGTTCCCTATGAGGCTGGTTTGGGGAGGCATTCCACTAAGGCTTGTGGGTTGAAGTGCAGTTGTTGCTGGCCATTGCTAACATTAAACTGTAGGACCATGAAGTAAAAACAAAAATTTTGCCAAGTGCAAAAAACAAACAAAAAAGTAATAGGGGAGAGCTAGAGTGTGGTGGAGTACACACCCTTGATCCCAGAACTTGGGAGGCTGAGGACCTCTGTGAGTTTGAGGCCAGCCTGGTCTATGTAGTGAGATTGAGGTTAGCTGGGGCTACACATGAAATCCTGTCTCAAAAGACAAAACAAAACAAGAAACAAAACAGATTTTTTTAAAATTCTATTTCTCTGAGAGACAGAATTAGGTTTGAGTTGTAATTGAGGTTCCATAATGTTGACACTGACTTGGTGGAACTGATCAGAGCTAAACTTTATTTAAAGTACTTAAAGACACACACACAATAAAAATTTAAAAAGCAGAATGTTCTAACAGCTGAAGTTTACCATGGAAAATGTTCATCCAAGAAGATATATTTCCTTCTTGATAAAAATGGACACACACACACACACACACACACACACCTCTTCTCATTCATTTCTTCAGTATACTGTAATTAGGTATCCAATGTCAGCAAACTGACTTACTAAGACGATGTTGACACAGAATGACTGGCAAGCGTTCCAATACAACTGGAGTGAAATATTTGTGAACAGCCCCTGGGTGGCAAGGGGCTGGGCCCTCCCACTGACTTACCCTTCCATAGCCGGAAGGTCTATTAGGAGTTTTTCCCTTTATGCTTTCTGAAAGCGGAGCACAGGGGAGGGAAATCTATAATTAGAGGGTTATTGAAAATAGAGATTTGTGACCTGACGCACCCACCAACACAATAACAACTGTCGGGCCCCTTGTCTCCAGGTGTGATGGGTCTACTCCAAGCTTTGCTCGCCAACGCTGCCTGGGTTCATGTTACCACCCAAGGACTGGGTAGGTAGACCCAGCATCCATTCAGACATCAGCACTGCTTTGAAATCCCATCTGAAAATGATATATTTTGCTCCTTGTTGTATTCTTTGTTCAAAATCCAACCATTCTAAGTTAAAGTCTGACTTTGGTTCACCTCATTATAAAAGGAGCTCAAGGCTTAGGACCTCACTATCAAGTTTCAAACAAGAGGCAATGGAATTCTTGGTGCAAGGTGAAGACAAGCCACAGGACGACACTCAGCCATCCTTAAAAGTTCCTACTAACCCATGGAAATGAAAGCCCTGTGCTGAAGGCGGGTCACTCAGAAGGCTTCACAGGTTTAAAAGTCCACCTCTAATCATTTTAGTGAATAGGAAGTGTTTACTGAAGGCCTGCTGTCTCCCAGCCCTCTGAGGACGTCTGTGCGCACCAGGCTTAGGAAACGACACTCCGGTCTGCTGCTGTGGAAGCCTGAGCCCTCCTCTTTCCGGCATGCTGCAGTTCCACACTTGCTCATTTTGAGTCTTCCTGCCAAAATGAAAACACACCAGTGTGTGGTTAGCACAGTGACTCACCGTCGGATTCCCACTCATCAGACCCTGTAAAGGAAATGCATATTTAAGTCTATCCATGTCTTTATCGACATATGATACATACATTTTTTTATGAAATGCTTCATATTGTAAAAAAGCACAGAGACTAAAAGTATGAAAGCTACTCATGTACTCTTTCTTACTCAGCTCATTCACTAATCTGCCATATTTGCTTCACGTTGTTTATGTTTACGACCTAGGCTGACCTTGAACTGCAGATCCAGTGGCATAACAGGCATGCGCCACTGTGCCTGACAATGATGCATGCCTTCTCCCCCCCCCCCTCCTCCTCCTCCTCCCCCTCCCCTACTCTTCTCAGCACTCATGACCCCAAAGTCCCACCCCCTCCTCCACGCCTTCCTTTCTCTCTCTCTTCAGAGTTAATGCCTATCCTATTCCGCTTGTTCCCATTTTTACTCTTTCATCTGTTCTGTGCTTTAAAATTTCGTTAAGGGGTAGCCTTCCCCCATGTGTTTGCAGTTCACCTTTTCACTCAAGGTTCTGTTAGGAGCTAGCCACCCTGATGCAAGAACGGTGCTCCATTTCTTTGAACTATTGTTTAAATTCTATTACGTGCCTGTACCACTGTTCTCTTACCTGTATCATATCCCTTTTGTGGGGGGGGGGGTTATCCCTTTTGCGGGGGGGGGGGGGATGGTGGTGGTGGTTATCCCTTTTGCGGGGTGGTTGTGGTTATCCCTTTTGCAGGGTGGTGGTGGTTATCCCTTTTGCGGGGTGGTGGTGGTTATCCCTTTTGTAGGGTGGTGGTGGTTATCCCTTTTGCGGGGTGGTGGTGGTTATCCCTTTTGCGGGGTGGTGGTGGTTATCCCTTTTGTGGGGTGGTGGTGGTTATCCCTTTTGTGGGGTGGTGGTGGTTATCCCTTTTGCGGGGTGGTTGTGGTTATCCCTTTTGCAGGGTGGTGGTGGTTATCCCTTTTGCGGGGTGGTGGTGGTTAATCTCGTCAACTTGGTGGCACTAAGAAGTGCCTAGGGGATTATGAAAGTGCAACCCTGAGTGTGTCTTTGGTGTCTCCGGATGTGATTAACTAAGGAGGAACTTGTCCTGAGCATACAAGGCATCACTCCACATGCCGGGGGCTTTAATGGTACAAAGGGGAAAGGCGGTACAGCTAACGCGGGCGCTCTCTCTCTCTGTGTCACTGTGGCCTTCCCCACATCCTCTTGTGGGGACCTTCTGAAAGCCTGAGCCAAGTGAGTCTCTCCCCGTTCATCTCCCTTACCTCCATGTTTATGTCAGAGACTCTTGTTTCGGCGATGGGACACAAACACAAATGCCACTTAGCTTGTTTGCAGTATTTTGCCCTGATATACTATGCTAATGAGACCAAGCCAGCTACTCCTCTGGCCCAACTGGCTCCAACTTCAAAATAAAGTCTCTTAAGTCTGAACACTTCTCCATGCTCTGCAACAACCATCAGTATCTCAAGCATCCCCAGCTCTCACCCACTCCTGGCTGCTCCTCCGTCTACACCATCCACGGGGTCAGACTGGGGCCCCAGCCTGCAAATCCTTCAGTGTCCTCGCATCATGCCTGGAATAAATGCAGAGAGCGAGGAAGCCCCGAACATCTGGTTTCTCTTTCTCTTTTCCTAGTTCTCAGTAGTAGAGATGGGATCCTTGGAACCAGATGCCATCTGCCTGAAACCAGTACTTCCTCTCTTCCTATAGCTTCCTCCCTGACCACTCAGGTCCCTGGTTGTATCACCTGCTTGTACAACTTTCGGAGTGGGAAGCATCCTTTATTCCCTGTCTTCTGCTTTTCCCTTTGCTTTTATCTTTCTTACAAATTATCACACCCGGAACTGCCTTGTATACTTTCGCTCCTCCATCAGAAGGTAAAATCTCTGGCCTTTGTATCCTCCTGTACTCAGAACAGCACCTGCTTCAGTAACCCTCCAACAATCCTTGCACACTGTTAGAGGCAGGACCTCGAAAGCCCCTGCTGGTGAAGCCCAGCGGGAGACACGTTTTCTACAGTACACACACAAGCACTTAAGTATTGTTTCTTTAAGGAAACAATACGCACACTTCCTGTGCTCACGCTCTATTTCATTGAAGAAGAAATGCAGGAACACAGAAAAGCACACATTGCATGATTCTACCTCTAAGGCAGTTGATATGGTTGTGTCCATGGGACTGTTACAGCGGCCTGGAGGGAGGGGTCCATGGGGAGTCACTGATCCCCGGGAACATCCGGTGATTTTAGCTCATCATTCACTTAGTTGTTTATTCACCCAACAAATGGTGATTTGCCAGGAAATTTGCCAAACAAACCAAGAGCTGTTTCTCCCGATCTTCTAGAGATCTTTGTCTCTTGCACAGGAGAGTGATCCTTGGGCAGCTCCTTCCAACCCATTGTCTTCCCACGTTATTTATTTATAAGTCTTTATGGTCAATATGCAGGGAAAAGTGTGTGTGTGTGTGTGTGTGTGTGTGTCTGTGTGCGCACACATGCTCTATTCACTGCCAAGGACTGGCGACATCAATACCAAAGGAAAGTTTTGAAATGAGGGGAAATGCCTTCATTTCAAGCGCTGTTTTAAATCTATGATTATGATTAAAGTCTTAAAGCACCCCAGTTTTTTCGACTGTTTCTTTCTTCTGTAAGCAAGTGCGTTTTGCTCTTTAAAAAGAGGGAAGAAGCCCCACTTATTTCACTGGTGTGCCCAGTTGGATGAAAAGGGCAATGAAAAACAGGTCTTTCAAATTAACTCCGGTAGTTCCCAATTTTGCCTGGAGAAAAACCGGACAATCCACACTGTAATCGTCTGCAGCTTGTATATCAGAAAGATACGTCTCTAAAGACTTTTACCCTCCAGGTAAGTCTTTTTTGACCTGCAGGAAATGTTTGCTACTTTAAAACCCACGGGTCAAGGGTAAAATAGTCGACTTCCGAATCTTTCTGAAGCACTGGAACTTAACACAGCTAACGACTTCAGATAGATAATGGTGTGGTTTGCCAGATAAGAAGTGCTACGCCCCGGATAAATCAGCTAGTTGTGGGTGGTGTCGCTGCTGGGTTCTTTGACATTTATCCATTTTTAAAAGATTAAACCACAGCAGAAATGAGAACGCTGGGGTTGGCTCTGCACGCAGTCTGTGCCAGTCCTCCCAGCTCGCGTGTTGCATGCAAATCAGCCGGCCAGTCCCGGGACCACGGCAGTCACTTTCGCGCCACTTTCCCAGGACCGCGCAGCTCCATAAAGAACCGGCAGCACTAAGTCCCCCAAATGCCACTGTTCCAGCGCGCATTGAGCAGTTTCCAAGGACACTCAGGATTATGACGGTCGGAGCCACTTCGATTTTTTTCCCCTTGGGGCTTGAGCCCTTCGGATGCGGCGAGAGAAGTCATCTTAGCTGGCAGGACCTGTGTCCCGGCGCGGGAAAGCCGGCGGCCCCGCCCCTCCGGCGGCGGAGTGCGCGCCCCGCCTCTGCCCCGGATCTCCTGCTGCTCCGGCTCCAAGTGCTTGTGCTCTCCGCTGGTCTGCCCCCGCTCCGAGTGCTTGGGTACCCGCTGCCAGCATGGAGGCTCGCCGCGCGCGGGTGAGGCTCGGCCGGGTGCACCGGGGCGGGGTTGGTGGGTGCTGGACGCCGGCGGGCCGGGGCCACTTCCCTACAACTCCGCGGGTGAGCGCCGCTCCCTTGTCCCACGGCGCTCCTGATCGTCGCCAGGTTAGGGGAAGTCACAGGTTGCTTTTGCTTTTCTTATAATCTTTGCACCTAGGATAACTCTTGGCCAAGGTGATGCGCCCGCCGGCGCGCACGGGGTTGGCAGCGCTCAGGGAGCCTGCGGGACGTGCGCTCGTGGTGCACGTGCGCGCCGGAGGCCGGGGGCTGGCTGCTGGCGGTGGCCTTTCCATCCCCTGGGACTATGCCCAGCACTACTCGCTCACGGCGGGTGCGTACCCACGCGTGCACTGGTGGCCCTGGGACCCGCTTCCTCTCCTCTGAAGCCCCTTCAACCACTCTGGATCTCTGGATTTAGGTTTGAAGGCCTTGTGAACATCTCTTGAGAACTTGGGTTGTGCACGTGGGGGAAGGTATTGTTTTAGTCCCAGGCGTAATTAAGCGCAGTTTAGGGATCCACGGTGCAAGCCGTGCACCAGGGCGGTTTAAGTGTGCTTCCCTGCGTCCCCCTCCTCCCTACCTCTTCTCAACCTCACTTGCAGCTGCGAGCTGCCCCGAGTGGAACTTTACTTTTTTTGCTCCAACGGAAGCCAGAACTTACGTCCTGCCCTGAAGAGGGTTGAAGAGTGGGGGGGGGGGGGGGGGGGGAATGGGCGGAAAGGAAGACAGTGACGTGCTTCAAATAAATATCGGAGGTTCGGGACCCTTGTTGGCTGGTCTGGGTGGGTAGGCGGGGTCGTGGTTCGGTAGCGGATCTCAGCCCGTGGGGAACTGGACTAGGTGCACATTTGGGCACCTGACGGGAGGAATCGGTTTCACATCAGTTTTCCTCATTTAAGGGATAATAGCGATGTCACTTTTTGCTGCAAAAAATTAAGCAAACATCGCAAGCAAAGTCTGCCGCCAAGGAACACTCCCCATAAATGGAATTAGAGTTATATCTGCCAAGAAAGTTCATCCCAGGCATGGCCATTTGCTCTGCTTTTCTGTGTCTTTTCCGTCAGGGATGTATTTGGCTGGTGAATGACTCTTGGCTTGTCCTGGCTTGTTAAAGCTTAGCCTGTTTCCCGGGCGGCTTTGGACAGAATGCCTCCCTGGAGGCTGCCATGGAGGTAGATTGATTAGCAAAGTGGGGAGAATCGGAGTCATTTAAGGAGCTGTGCTGTCCTAGGGGATCTCTTCGGTTTTTGCATCGTGTTTCACCCTGTTGCCTTGGGCTTCCTCGTCTGGAAAACGGGGCAGAGACTTTGGAGATGCTTTTTAACTCCTAATGGCACACTGGCTTGAACATTTACCGTAAATACAACCTTTATATTGTGTGGCTCTCCCCATCACCACATGTAACGAGGGGAGACTGGGCTGCCATCATCTGGGAAATAATTTTATTGAATCTGAGAGACTGAAATGCAGAGCGTTTGGTGTGGAAGGAAGTCCAGCTCCCTACACCTAGGCATTCATTCTCTGTCCCCCTAACACATCTGGGCACTCTTGTGGAGCTGCTAAGAAGAGCTTGTCCTTTAAGGTTTCCAGTGCAAAAACATACTGCTATTCCTTGACTATTTAAGACTGTAAGAACTAATGCACTCCTTCAGAAATATCATCATGTCCCAAGAAATGGCAAAAATGGCTGTCCTGGTTAAGTTACATTTTCTAGTGAACAGTACAGGGCTATAAATGAGAATGAATGGAGCATTTTCATCTCTCCAAGTAATTTGACCTTATGATAGGCTTTTTAAAAAGAACTCTTCCCCCATGGGCTGGGGATTGACCCCAGGCAGGACTTTGCTAGGCAAATACTTACCACTGAGCACTACCCCATTCTTAAAAATTTCAGGTCTTAAGGGGCCATTAGAAAGAGCTGCCTGGAGACCACGGTCATAGGGAGCTCAGGTGGAACCAGGTGTCCCACCTGGCCTTTCAGCCCTGTTGCCCTCTAACTTGGCTCCTTGTACCACGTGGTTACAGGCTGATAATACTTGATCTGTAAGGACTTGTGCAGGACCTCGGTACTCCTCCTCATTGGAACTGGGCCTGGTTGAATGGCTGCCATCTTAAAGCACAGGACCTGCCCAATTTTTGTAGTTTGGAAAATTAGCATCACAGTGCAGAGCCCAAAGCTTACATAAAAAGACCTCATTAGCTTGATTTTTGGCTGAGGGAGAAAAATTGCTCTGCCATCTTGCACTTTTGAAATCTCCTTTTAGAAGTACAGTTCAATTAGAAAAAATGAGGTTGGATTTTAGGAGCTGGCATCAGACTCTGTGAGTTCAATATAATGTTAAATGCTTAGGATTATAGGCTGGGAAGAGAAGTAACTGCAGATGTTTGGATAAATTGATAAATATCATTAAAATGTTCTCCAGACAAGATCCTTTCTTAGAATTTGACCTGGGTTGAATTTTTTTTTTTTTTTTGGTAGCAATTGCCAATTTCATTTTTTTTCTCTGTAGGGCCTGGGGGGTGGGGGATGTGTTCATCTCCTCTGCTGTTTAAGTCTACCAAACTGAGAAACGACGTCTTTAGTGGTTCTGTACTGCAAGGAAGCGTTCCCCTTAATGGTGTTGCCGTTTCTCTTTGCAGCAAAAGGCTCTCAAAGTAAAGAACTTAAAGAATGTCAGATATATGAAGCTGATTTCCATGGAAACGTCGTCATCCTCTGATGACAGTTGTGACAGCTTTGCTTCTGATAATTTTGCAAACACAGTAAGTGCTGCCCGAGAATAAACAGAATTGAGTCTGCAATGCTCCAAATGCCCCGAAATGCTTTGTGCATGATTAAAACTGCTTGCTTTTTGCCTGCATTTCTATGCAGCCGTGAGGAAAATACGGCATGCACTGTAATTTCATTTCACTCTTTGCTGGGGTTCTAGGTAGTAATTGTTGGAGGTGGATTAGCTGCTCATTGTGTCCCTTTGAAGTGTCGCCTAGCCTAACACGACTGATGACTTGCTATAACAACTCAGAAATCATTTGTAAACCTCTGAACCATTTTTCTTTGTAACAAAAGCCATTCTCTTGTAGTGCACTTGTAAATGTGATTTGCTCTCTGCACGCTTTATGGAAAATTGGTTCTTGAAAAAGAGAAAAAAAAAATCCACAACCACATTTATTTATTTTACAGCAACCTAAATTCAGGTCAGATATCAGTGAAGAACTGGCTAATGTTTTTTATGAGGACTCTGATAATGAATCTTTCTGCGGCTTTTCAAAGGGTGAGGTGCAAGATGTATTAAGCCATTGTGGATTTTTACAGAAACCAGGGCCAGATGTCACTAACGAATTGGCCAGCATTTTTCATGCCGACTCTGATGATGAATCATTTTGCGGTTTTTCAGAGAGTGAGATACAAGATGGAATGGTGAGTTTGAGAAGTTCACCAGTATCAAGAAGTGAGGTACATTTAGAGGCTGGGGAGATTTGCCCTTTGACCTCCTCCCCCCATACCTATAGCTCTCCTTTCATTCCAGCTAGAAGACTTTGATGACCTGATCATGAATGTTTTCTTCATGTCTTAAAGCCATTTTTACCAATGTCCTGCATGTAGGCCTTAACACAATTTTTTTTTAGGTTCTAAAAATCTTGGAGATTTGTTAAATAAAGATGGCTAGCCTGCAGATTGCCGTTAGCTGCAGATCTGGCCTGATCCCAGGAAGCACATATGTCCTAAAGATTAGCTACATTGGCACTTAGGTGCAGGTGCCCAGTCCAGGGCTGGCGCGGAGCTGACAAGGCTGGGTTCCGTAGTTCCATTTGTACCTGCATCTTGGGAGCCTCTCAGGACCACATCGATGATAAGTAGGGCCTTTCCTGCTTCAGGGTTTTCTTGCTCGCTGGTCTGCTTTGCCTGTCTGCCTGTGCTTCTCTCCCCTCTCGGCTGTCACCTGCCCGGGTGGCTGCCATGCCTGTGCTCTAGTCCCTGAGCATGGTGTGCTTAAACTGTCTCCTAAGGAAGTGGGGTGTGCATTACAGTCACCTGCATGTTATTCCCTTCACCATGCCTGACGACATTGCCACAGGCCATCGCTTGAATGACACTGTTCTGAGTGACAGCACTCGCCCTAGAACTATTTCTTCAGCAACTGCTGTACCAATGCATGCTTCCCTAATAAAAGACTTTGGTCCCAACGGGTGTTGATTGGCATTTGTTAGCTGGGGGCAGTCTGCAGATCTGGATGTGACCCATTGTCTGCGGCTTGACTCTTCTAGGCAGTCTCTTAGCTCTTTAGGGGTATTGACTTGTGAGGACTAAAACGCTAGTTGGTTGAAAGTGCTAAGAGTTCATGAAAGTTTTGTTTTGTGATCTCCATCCATGGACACTAAGCTGCCCATGGGGTCCTTATTTGTTGGTACTGGGGATCAAACCCAGGGTCTTGGACATGCTAAACATAGACTCTACCACTGAACTGCATCCTCAGCCCATTTCAGTGTTTTGAGGGGCTGAGGAGATGGCTCAGCTTGCCTTGCAAGTATAAGGACTGCAGTTCAGTCTCCAGAAACTTATGTACATGCTTAGTAGGTATGGTGGCTTATCTGTAGTTCCAGCTTCTCAGAAAGCAGAGGTAGGATCCCTAGAGCAAGTTGGCTAACAAGATAGCACATCAGTGAGCTCTGGATTTGATTGAGAATCATCAAATTTGCATGGGCACACATGCAAAAATGAGAGTAATACTGTCCTGAACATTCATGTTCTAAGCTTTTATGTGTCTATGTATTGGGTCTCTACCTAGGAGTAGATGGCTGGAATATATAGAGACTCTGTTTAACTTTTGAGCAAGCTGGCAGATTTATTTAGCTTTACTAGTTGGTATGAAGTGATATCTAGATCTTGACTTACAAACAGTTAATTTGAGTGGTAGCTAGACGAGTCAGATTCAAAGACTAGAAAGATGTGGTTGCCAGGGACTGGTGTTGGGAGGAATTGGTCTTTTTGGCTTGTTTGTTTGTTTTTGAGGCAGGGTCTGGCCGTGTAGCTCAGGCTGGCCTAGAACTGGCTGTGTAGCCCAGGATCCCTACTTGTAGGGCTTAACCGGCATGGGCCAACATACCCCACAGAGCTTACTGTTGAATGGACCTGAAGTTTCAGTTCAGCGAGATAAAATCTTGGTTCAAGTGAAGGCTCCACAGCAATGAGGTGTATTTTAATCACAATTAAAAAAGGAAATGGAAATTGGCAGCCTAGGATATTACTTAATACCATCATAGGCATTGAAACCATGTTTATGGGTGAAACACAGATGTCCCTAGAGGACTTTATGAGAATGGCCCGGGATTAATTTTAAGGAAATGGGAAGGGGGCAGGCCCTTAGTAGCACAGGTCTCGGGACCGTGATGGTGGCTGGGGCAGCGTCTCAGAGGAGCAACCCTATGAAGCTCTGCTCCCCGTTGTGTGCATTTTCAAGTCTTGATTTTGTTGCCCATGATCCTTGCTGTTCACTTGGGCTGATTTGCTCTCATCCTTTATTCTGAAAGGATCTGTGGCAGTCATTGGGGCCGCTTGTCTGCCAGTCGAGGGTCCTTAACACCCCCCTTTGCTCTCTTAACTAGAGGCTGCAGTTAGACAGGGAAGGCTGCAGGACCCGGAGTCAGTGCCGCCACCCCGGACCCCTCAGGGTAGCCATGAAGTTCCCAGCACGGAACACTCGGAGGTCGGCCACCAAAAAGGCAGTCCCCTCAAAACCCTCTGAGAACTCCGCAAACGATTCCCAGTCTGACTCGGAAGTGGAAGAGGACGGCATGAACTTCCTGGAGAAAAGGGCTCTAAATATCAAGCAAAACAAAGCCATGGTAGGTGTTGGGATGCGTCAGCACCCTCCCTAGCTTTTCTCTAAGCAAGCTCTTTCTAAGAACTGTGTCCTTGTAGTTGTGAAGACTTCATGGTGTGTTTTAAATATTCATATTTGTTTTTATTTGTGTGGGGGAGGAGGGTTGTGCTATGCGTGCGGTGCCCTTGGAGGCCAGAGGAGGGCATTTTGTGTCCCCTGGAACTGGAGTTAGTTAGGCATGATTGTGAGCTACCATGTGGGTGCTGGGAACTGAACCCAGGTCCTCTGCAAGAGCAGCCGATGCTTTTAACCGCCGAGCCTTCTCTCCAGCCCCTGCGGCTGCTTTGGATGACTAGTGGGGAAGTCGGAACCTTGACTGTGTCAACCTGTTAACTAGAAAGTTAAGGGATAAGTTAAGGATAAAGTTAAGGCTAGCATTATTTCCACAAATTGCCTGTTGTCACCCATTATAATTTTGTTCACTTTCTTCCCCTCTTTAGCTTGCAAAACTCATGTCAGAATTAGAAAGCTTCCCTGGCATATTCTCTGGAAGACATTCCCTCCCCGGCCACAGATCCAAAGGTGTAAGTCCTTCTTTCTAAACTGTTGTTTTGGACAAGCCCAGGGCAGACCCCTGAGATTTTGGGTTCTTGTTTTTATGCTGGGGGTGGGGTCGCTAGAAAGAGCCTTCTTGGGGCTTTGGATGATCTTTGCATCCTGGACACTTTGGCTCTCCCACCCTGTGGCCACACTCCTTTGGCAATTGCTCCTCTTTGTACTAGCAGCAAGGAAGATTGACAACTTGTTGCTATGTCCCCAAGCGACACATTTTCTTCCTACATGCTAGATGCAAAATAGGTATATTTTTAAAAACCGATTGAGGGGGGAAAAAGTACACACAATTTCTTTTGTCAAGTCATATCCTAATAATGGTATTTGATGGCATCCCAAGGGACTAAGCTGGTGTGAATGGTGGTAAAGTTTGTTGTGTTGGCTATGGCACAAAAGACAAGTCTGCATTTCCCTACTTCCCCATGGGGAGTCAGGCTAAAAAACAAGCAAGGAATGGCAGGAAGCAACACAAGCATTCTTTGTGTAATATGGAGATCGCATGTGTGTTCCAGGAGTCTAGAGACGTCATGGGAAAGGCTTTGGGGTCAGGAGCTCAGGTTTCACATATTCAGTAACTGAAGTAGAAGAGTAAATGGCAGAAGAATAAATAAAAATTGCAGTGGCTGTATGTATGGCTTTGGGGTTTGGTGTTTACACATTATGGAAAGGGCAAAGGAAATGTGAAAATGGAGCTCTTCTTTGACCTAACCCTCCCTAAGGGAGAGTTGCAGTTTTCCCAAGTGAGGATCTCTGTAATAGAGCAAGTGGAGCTATATTGTGTGTTTCATTCACCAGTCAAAGCCACCTAGAAGACGCACATTCCCTGGTGTGGCTTCCAGAAGGAACCCTGAACGGAGAGCCCGACCTCTTACCAGGTCAAGGTCCCGGATCCTGGGGTCTTCGGATGCTCTGCCCACAGAGGAGGAGGAAGAAGAGGAGGAAGAGGATAAGTACATGCTAGTGAGAAGGAGGAAGTCTGTGGATGGCTACATGAATGTGAGTCCTTGCTGATCTCTCCTCTTAACGTTTCCCATCTTCAGGAAGCTTGGCATTGAGCACACCGCCTCAGACCATCCCAAGTCATGAATGCTACATAAGCGTACTTAATTTTGTTAGCGGACAGGAGTCAGATTTTCAACTTCTCAGTATTGTAGGAATTATTTCTATGCTTTTGGCCAGTTATCCTTACAGTACGTTTATGGGCTTGCTCCCTCTCTCCATAAGCAAGAAAAATTTTCCAGGTTGAATTTTCTGTGAAAAGTTTCAAAGAAAGCATCCTGAGATTTAGGGCTACAGAGAGGAACTCAGTTTCATGCTTCATATTCAGGACGATGACATGCCCAGAGGTCGTCGCCCTGGGTCCATGACCCTTCCACATATAATTCGCCCGGTAGAGGAAGTTACGGAGGAAGAGATCAAGAACATTTGTGGCAACTCTCGAGAGAAGATCTACAACCGATCGCTGGTGAGTGCCACGAGGTTATGTCTCGAAACAGAAGCTGCACATGGTATATGGTCTGGACATTCATGCTTGCGCATTTTTTTTTTTTATACAAGGGAAGAAGAGTTTTACTGTATGCCTGGGATTGAATGAATCTGCCTAGGAAGTCTGCAGTAGGGTTATATCTTTTTAATTTAGAAGTGGATTCATTCAGCTGGGATTTGCAGTGTATCATTAGGGTGTATCTGTCAGCAGCCACTGGGAATGCAGTGGTGAGCCAAAGATTTAAAAAAAAAATAGATTTGGAAAAGAGGATAAAAATGGATTTGGGTGGAATTTTCTTTTTCCTATGCTGGGGATCAAACCCAGGACCTCGAGTGGGTTAAGGATGTACTCTGGCCTTGAGCCCTCCAAATAGTTTTGACGATATTACATTGTACCACCAATAGAGTGGGAAGCCTTGCTCGAGATGCTTTCATGCTTGTGTATGTAGGTGCTACGTGAACTTCAAAGATCAAGTGTCAGGTCCTTTATCACTACCAGTGTGGGTGTTCTCCGTGCCATGTTTCTGTTTTTCTCTACAAAATACGGCGATTGTGTCTTCTCTCACCGGGTCTTCCCTCCAGGGCTCTACATGCCATCAGTGTCGCCAGAAGACCGTTGATACCAAAACAAACTGCAGAAACCCAGACTGCTGGGGCATTCGGGGCCAGTTCTGTGGTCCCTGCCTTCGAAACCGCTACGGTGAAGAGGTCAAGGATGCTCTCTTGGACCCGGTAGGTGCCTTAAAAGGTCGGGGAGGGGCTGGAACTCTTGGTGTCAGGAGTCCATGGTGTGGTGCTGCAGGGATGTAACTGACCAGAGAGCTCGGGGCTGCTGCTCAAAAGCCGATTTTCATCCCTGGTGGTGGGTGTGTAACTTTCTTGAATTATATCTTGTGAGTGTGCGTGTGTGTGTGTGTGTGTGTGTGTGTGTGTGTGTGTGTGTGTGTGTGTGTTGCCAGGGCTGGAACCACATACGCTAGGCAAATGTTCTCAAACTGAAACAGAAATTTGGACCCCTGTTTTATGGTTTAGTTATTAAAAAAAAAAAATCACAGGGTAAGTGAGTTGATACTAAGTACTTCAACGGCTAAAGAAACGGAACCGACGGATGGAGGGGAAGTGATGCTTAGCCTCAGGGTGCTTTCCCTCAATTCCTCAGAACTGGCACTGCCCGCCCTGTCGAGGAATTTGCAACTGCAGCTTCTGCCGCCAGCGCGATGGACGGTGCGCCACGGGAGTCCTCGTGTATTTAGCCAAGTATCACGGCTTTGGGAACGTGCATGCTTACCTGAAAAGGTAATGGCCGTTGTGATTTTTCTCTTTCACATGAGTCTTACATTCATGCCTTAATAAGATGATAGAAGTCTGAAGAGTGGCTCTCTTGGGGCAGGGGAATGTTAGTGGAAACGCATCTTCCTGTGAGCGGGTCATGGATATAACATTCAGGTTGGGTGTCTAAGACACACGTGTTGACACTATGTATGTTAGGGCTCCACAAACTTTTGTTTTTTTTAAAGAGATGAATTTGACTTTCCAAAGAGAATTATTGGTTGGAAACCGTCTTGACGTCTTCCCCTTTGTCTTCCACAGTCTGAAGCAGGAGTTTGAAATGCAAGCCTGAGGATTCACCTCCTGCCTTTGGCTTCTCAAGGCTCTCCTGTTCTTGATATCGTCGTCGTTGATGGAAACCTGAGTAAGAATCATGGCGACCAGTCTGTGTTAGAACTCAGTCTGGCTAACCTCGTTAGGTTCACACTTGTTTCTGAAGCATCGTGGAAGGCATACATACTGCTAGGTACACTTCAGCTACGTGTAGTTTCCCAAAGCTTGCCCTGGCTCGACCTCGTAGCCTCCCTACTCCCTTGTTCCTCTGCCACCACTTTTTAAGTTTCTGAGTTCTTTTTAGGCGGCAATTTTAGGAAGCATTATTTGTCTTGTTGGTGTTGGAATGGTCTCAGGACATATACCCATAAACCCAAGCGCTTAGGGGTGCAGCGGTATTGTGAGCCAACAACGGTTCTGGTGAATTGCGGAGAATAGCTCTTTAAGTTGTTCACGCGAAATCAGCACACGCGGTTTAGTATTCAGTGTTCTGTTGGCTGACATTTGAAATGGGTAACGCCAAGGCACAAACAAAGGTCTGAACACGATGTGGAAAAATGAGGTAATTGTTGGGAAGTGGAGTAGCACATTGAATGACTTTCTGGAGAGTACAGCTCCTCTGTTGGGCTCGGTGTGCACCTTGTCACAGTTGAGACTCCGTCGTTCTTAAGTTAGAGCGGTTCATCTGGCTTACACAGTCACCCAAGGGTTTGTGGTAACATGGTACCATAATTACTTAAATTGCTGTAGAAAAGGCATTCCAGGAAATTAAGATGACAAGACCACAATGGGCTGGTTTGAAATCATCCTGTTCTGCTTGAGAAACTTGACTTCAAGGACTTCACTTTGTTCCTGGCAGTTTCCTGAAGAGGATACCCTCAGGGTGGTGTCCTGTCCAGGGTTTAGGTTCTAACAGTTTTGTGACAATGAGTTTTCTAACAGTGACCTTTTAGAGAGGGGTAGCTTTGAATCACTTGTTAACGAGTTACCTCTGCGAGTGTATGGCAGATGGCGTGAGTCATCTCCCTCCCTTTTCCTCTAGTCGGGTCCTTGAGTAGCGGTGGACTCTAAGTGACTGATTCCATCGCACGTGTAACATGTGCCCCACTCTGTGATGCAACGGGACCTTGAATCATTCAGTGTAAATACAGCTTTTGCTCTGTAATGCTTTTATACAAAGGTTTTTATTTTAATAATAAAACATTTTGTTCTAACTTGTGTGTTTATTTTTGTTTTAAAAAATTAATGTTACTATACTTAATTCCTTTTTCTCTTTGTATTTTGAAAGGGCATTTCTGCCTCTTCTAAAATTTTCTCTTTTGGATTAAATTTCTGAGGCCCACAGCCAGCTCTTTTGAACAGGGTCAGAAAGTGGACTACGATAGCCACATTGACAGACAGGACGCTGTAGATGTAACCAACCGTCTTATTAAATAAGAAACATAGAGCCGATTTAGAGAAGAAGGCCAAGAGGTCAGAGCTAAGAGCCTCACCCTTCCTGATTCAGCGATCCTCTTCAGCCAAGAGAGCTCTCTGAAAGGGACCTACTTCCTGTGTGTATGTCTTTATATAGTCTAGCTGTTCTGCCTTCTCATTGGTTGTAAACCCAAACATGTGACTGCCTCGTCACTGCCTGCATGTACCGCCCTCCAGGTCCTTAAAGGCGTGCGCCACCGCCGCCACGCACTTGTTATGGCTCTAATAGCTCTGACCCCCAGGCAACTTTATTTATTAACATACAATTAAAATCACATTTCAGTACAAGTAAAATACCACCACAGGACGCAGCATGTGCTTGGGTAGTTTTATGCTGTTTTCCTTTATCATTTTCAGTACTTGGCCACTTTTATCTACTTTTCAAATAGTTACTAAATGTGTTCCATGCCTTGAGGTTTTTAGAACTAGAACATACAGAAGACGAAGACTTTAGAGTCAGGCATGGTGGTTCGTGGAGTCACAAGACACTGAAGCAGGAGGATTGCAAATTGAGGCAAGCCTCAAAAAATCGCTTTATTATTTATTTTAAAGATTTTAATGTATATGTTTGCATGGGTTTCTTCTGCATGTGTATGCAGGTGCCCTCGGGAGGCCAGAAGAGGGTGTTGGATCCCATGTAGCTTGAGTTACGGACAGTTGTGACCCACCAGATGGTGGGTGCTGGAACTGAACTCGAGTCCATGGAGATGAGCAAGTACTCCTAATTGCTGAGCTGCCCAGACTCCTACACAAAGCTCATAATGTAACTAAGTTACTGACCAGGATTAGCAAATCACAGTCTGCGTTTCACAGCCAACTGCATATGCCTTTTTACATTTGTAAAGGAGGTTTTTGTTTTTGATGGCTCCGTGATTATAGAGAGTACTTGTTGCTCTTGGGAGGACCCAACAAGCACATGGTAGTTCACAACCATCCACACCTGCATGGCAGTTCACAACCATCCACAACCCCAGTTCCGGGGATACAATGCCCTCTTCACCTGTCAAGCCTGGCACTTTATAGGGAAAAAAAAAAAACCATGTCCTAGATATGCCTTCAGTGGGAAGCCATGATTATCTCACACACTTAGGGAGGACCAGGCTGAAAGTTGTTCACCTGGTACACGGATCCAAAAGAAGTCGCACTTTTTAGAAACCAAGTCTTGGGATCGTAAGAAACCAAATTATAATTCAACCCTGTTGAGTATGTAATTGGGGAGCTCAAATGCTAGAGTTCCTATAGTTTGGTTTATTTGAAATTTATGACTGGTAATAGATTGAACCCAGGGTCTTCCACTGAGCTATTACCCCCCGACCCCCTGCAACTGATCTGCATAATTTTTTATGTTAGTGTAAGTGATACGGTTTTCTTTTAAAATAATTAACTACAACTGTTCGTTGTGACACCTTGTCCAAGGAACTGTGCAGTCTGCCAGAGGAACTCCTGAGAAAACCCTACACATGATGTCTCTTGTGAATAGTGAAGAAGCATTAGCGTTTTCTCCTTACTTGGTGATTTCCATAGATGCTCTCCCCTCCCAGTTTTTGAGGTAGGAACTTAGTGTGTTACCCAGGCTAGCCCTAAACTCCAGGAAAGGACTTTACATTTTATTTAATCTAAACTTGCCGTAACAGGAAAGAGAAAGCTTAGGAAGATGGTTGGGTTCAGTCTGGAGAGGAAGGCTGGGTGCCCAATCAAACCCAGCTGAGAAAATGCTGGGTGGGGGTGGAGGCTCCTTAGGACCAGGGGCTTCTGGGAGGTAAAGGCTCCAGGGAATTAGGGTGTGGAGTGATGGAAACCCAGAGTGATGGGTTATTTGCATCAATGTCAGAAACCAGAAGCTTTAGCTGCATGGATGAAAATCCTGTAAGTAGAAGACTCGGGAAGGAGGAAGCCGAAGGCACAGTTACTGCCTGTGAGTCAAAGGATTGTGTGCTTTAGGGGACAGTAAGGATGTGGGACGGGCAGGGCGTGCAGAGAAATTGATGGTTTCAGGGATAGACTTATCCATATAGTATCCATGTAGTATCATTTTATCCACAAAGACACTGGGGGGAAAGAACAAGGAACACAAACAGAAAGCCACTCATCCTTGACTTTTACTCAGTCTCCTCAGAAGTTTTGGGTTTTGCAATCCTGGGGGTGACAATTGAGAGCTTACAGACATCCAGCAGATACCGACTGGGGAAGTTGAGGCAGTCAGCTGGGATTCCCTATTGAGCTTTCTATCCATGGGTGAGTTTCCAGGGTCCAGCTTCCCAGTCCCACTGCAGGCATTCTTATACTTTGGGGTAAACAGTAGTCACATTGCTGGAAATGGTTATTGTCTAGCTGTTCTCAAGGACACACATTAAGGATTCTTTTTTTTTTTTTTTTTTTTTTTTAAGAAATCTTTATTTATTATGTATACAGAAGAGGGCACCAGATCTCATTACAGATGGTTGTAAGCCACCATGTGGGTGCTGGGAATTGAACTCAGGACCTCTGGAAGAGCAGTCGGTGCTCTTAACCTCTGAGCCATCTCTCCAGCCCCACATTAAGGATTCTTAATTTTGCTGGGCAAAAAATCTCAATGCTTGGGAGACAGAAGCAGGAGGATCTCTGTGAGTTTGAGGCCAGCCTGGTCTACAGAGTGAGTTCCGGGATGGCTAGGGCTACACAGAAACCCTGTCTCGAAAAAAAAAAATTTTTTTTTGGGGGGGGGGTGGTCTGGAGAAATGGCTCAGCAGCTCAGAGCACTTGCCGCTCTTCTGGAGGACCTTTCCCCAACAGTAGACTGTACCCCAGGACTGTGAGCTAGAATAAACCCTTTCTCCTCTAAGTTGCCTTCATCAGAATATTTTTATCACAGCAAATAATGAAATGAAGATAACGTGCATATAAATAGTCATGAATCTATTTCTATGCTAGTACTTAGATATATTAATAATAACTGATATTGCTACATATCCTTTCAGAATAATGATTACTAAACTATGAATATGTGACAAAACAATGTAATTTTGTTTTGGCTCCTAGAAGTAGTAAGTCAACTACTGTGTGTGGTTGGTTTGTTTTGCTTTGCTTTGCTGATTGTTAAACCAGGTTGGTCTTGAATGCCTGATCCTCCTTCTCCTTCCTAGGATTACATTTGTTCAGTACTGTGCCTGCCCAGATCTACATGTGTTTCTGTAACCTCTTGCCTGCCAGATACATGGCAGTATGTACTCACCATGTCCTTCACCGTGCGTACCTAGTTTAACACTATGTGTGGGTGAGATGAGTGGAATTTCTATTCAAAGAATATTATAGGGAGCTGAAAAGACGGCTTAGCAGGCAAAGGTGCTTGCCAACAAAGCTGACAACCTCAGTTTGAGCCCCAGAACCCACATAGTGGAAAGAAAGACTCCAAGTTGTCCTCTGAACCCCCATACATATACTGTGGCAAACATTCACACACACACACACACACACACACACACACACACACACACACACACACACATTAATTAAAAAATAATACTACAGAAAGAATCCTGAAGTAATACTCAGATGGTCTATGAACATGGAGTTAAGTAGATAGTTCCAGAGAAATAGAATCTGGAAAATGCTTTCCTTGGCCACATACAAGGCTGTTGTGTGAGTTCATGATAAACCAACCAAGTCCCCTTTCCTCACTCGCTTCCGAGACCACTTAAAGTGACAGGAATCCGTATTTCTGCTTTCTCTTGTTTTTGTTTGGTTGTCCATGTTTTAACAGACTGGTCCTCAAGTTTTCCTTCCCAGCTGAGTAGCTGGAACTCTTCTCTTGCCTCCTAATGACCATCGGTACGGCTTTTGGAAAGTAGAAGCCACTGCTGGAGCTTGCCTGGGCTCCCAGGACATGACCGTTTTGAGCACTCTGGTGCTTAAGGAGGGAAATATGTAAATAAAATTCCTTTATGCAAATGATTCCAGCAAGTCTCATTGCCAGCCCAATTCTTGTAAATCATGATAAACAGATGCTACTGAACTAAATGACTAAGTGAAATTATGGAGATAGAGTCTATTTATCTTATTTTTCAGTGTTGGGGAGGGAGAAAAAGATATTAACTAAATTTTCTCTGCCTGCATGATGATTAAGGCAGACACCACGAAGTCTATTAATTGATTTCAGCAGGCACAATGAGGGTACTAAGCCATTGGAGAGCTAGCCCTGAAAGGCAGAGCTTCTGTGGCAATTTAGTTGGTTTTACCATGGGACCAGGCAGGCTTCGGAAGAAATCTAGCATCAAGCTTACTGGGTCTCTGGTTGGTGTTTAGCATTTTGTTACTCTTTTTTCCTTAACTTGAAAAAAATTGAAATAAAATTTACCATTTCAAAATGTATAATTTGTTGACTTCCAGCACATTCACAGAGCTGTAACTGCAGAACAGACTCAATTCCCTCCCACAAGTCTCTTATTCTAAAGCAGCGGTTCTCAACCTTCTAATTCTTTTTTTTTTTTTTTTTTTTCCTGGAGCTGAGGACCGAACCCAGGGCCTTGCGCTTGCTAGGCAAGCACTCTACCACTGAGCTAAATCCCCAACCCCATAATAAATATCCCTGTTTTTTTTTTTTTTTTTTTTTTTTTTTTTTGGTTTTTCGAGACAGGGTTTCTCTGTGTAGCTTTGCGCCTTTCCTGGAACTCGCTTTGGAGACCAGGCTGGCCTCGAACTCACAGAGATCCGCCTGCCTCTGCCTCCCGAGTGCTGGGATTAA